ACTTTCTGGTCCATTTACAGATTCTGACACCTTTCCAGCAAGAAAATATTATTAGAGAAAAGGAAATTGTGGTTATTCTACTTGCAAATATCACTAAAAGCTATTTTGATGTTTTGAAAATATATTTAATAATAGTACATTCTTTTTCCATTAGGTATAATTTCAAAGACCTGCGTTTCTTTGGAATAAATTACAGAATAATATATAAAATGGGATATCTCAGGATGGGAGATTCCTTAACTTCTAGTTAACTGATTTTTGACGATTAGCTCCCTGCTAACTTTGTTACGCCTGATTTTCTTAATAGAAAATAAGCCAAGGGCATGCTTAAGACCAGGCCTGTGCAGAGTGGGGGGCAGCCAGCTTCACCTCAGAGGCCTAAGTCGGCCACAGACCGGCTGCTTTTTTGTTTGAGTTCATAGCTTTATTCTAACAAAACTCCTGTCCTGGGCCTCAGACAAGCTCTGTGTGGACTTGCTTAAGACCCAATATAATTATGCAACATTTAGCTTCTAATACATTATATTTGTGGGGTTTCATTATGTAATTCACATAAATTCAACCAAGGAATCATTGATGTGTCCTTCTGTGTAAGAAAATGTGATGCTCTCGGATAGCCCTTCATTGCCCTGCTTTTCCTCCAAGCTAGTTCTGACCTGCCATCCACTAAGCTTTTAGTTTCTGATCCCATCCACCCTGGGACAGAAAAAAAAAAGCTCCTCTGAAGCCTGATGTTCTATGTTCTTCTCCAGAACCTTTTCAGGATATCTGCAAAGAACTGGAATGGATCATTGCTCCTATGGTGAGTTGGGACACCCCCTTGTACTTCAGCTGGCCAGATCTGTTTCTTACTCCTTAAGAATGCAGGACCCAATTAATAGAAAGTTTTGACTCAAAGGAAAGCTTAGAAAGCTTACATGGAATAAGGAGAATAAGTAAATTACAAGAGAAAATTGAATGAGAGCAAGCACACTGCACTTTCTGTGTTCTCTTCTAATGGCCTTTGCTGTGTGCTGCTTCAAGATGCAAAAGCCAAGCCTCAACCCCAGGCACTTTTTGTTTTGCTATGGGCTGAGTCTTGTGCCTTCTCCTGTCCATGTTAGTCGCACAGCATACATTTCTACTGTTTCAGAATAGCCCTGTCTTCCTCTCTCTTCTGCCTCATTTCAGCACTCAGCAAAGTGAAACCAGCTGAGTACAGTGATACCTCGGGTTAAGTACTTCATTCGTTCTGGAGGTCCGTTCTTAACCTGAAACTGTTCTTAACCTGAAGACCACTTTAGCTAATGGGGCCTCCCACTTCCACCGTGCCACCGCCACGCGATTTCTGTTCTCATCCTGAAGCAAAGTTCTTAACCCGAGGTACTATTCTGGGTTAGCGGAGTCTGTAACCTGAAGCATCTGTAACCTGAAGCATATGTAACCCGAGGTACCACTGTATCAGCTTGGTCTCTGGACATCCATGCATACATTGGATTCTCTTGGAAGAGGAAGGAACTAGTTTTACCCAGTCAATAGAAATGTGAATCTTCCTTGCCTATTATGAGTTGTGGACTGACCAGTCAACTATTGGGAGACAGACTATCCAGCTGCTGTTTCTAAATATGTATACATGTGCACAAAGATGTGTGAGAGATTCATGCATGCAGGAAGAATGTCATGGGCATAGAATCATGAAGTAAGGCTGACCTATCTAGAGTAAGATGAAATGATTGAAACATTGCGCTAAGGAAATTACGTTTGGCAGGCATCAAGACCAAAATGTAATGACGGACTTTTGAACATTTTGCTTTAAAGAGAATTAGACTACCAGGATTGCATGTTTTATCTTCAAGTCTGTCAAAGGTTTTAGCTCTGAATTAAAGCTCAAGATGATTAATATTATTGTTTTTAACAATTTGGGGGCATTTGACTCAACAGCTACCTTCTGTATGCCCTCTAAACCTGTTCTAGGGGTTTCAACCCTGCAGAATGGATTTGCTCAGCGGGGAACATGCAGGAAGGGGAAAGAGAAGTTCCATTGAGCAAGGAGAAATTTGTTCACTTACAGAATGAGCTAATTGAGTGCTGCTCTATAGACATTGTGTTTAAATATAAATCTGCTTGATTAATCAGGCATCTTTGATTCAGTCTCTGATTATTTTTTAATCTATTAAGCGTTGTAGCCCTAGAGATGATTATTTTCCTCTGAAGCCACTGCCGCTTGCCTAAACATTGAAGTTTTTTTAAAAAAGTTCACTTAATGTACGTACTGAATTTGATACCTTGAAATCATGTTTAAATGTGATTATTGACGTACTTCCCTTCAGTGAAATGAAGAGAATCAAAGGGGTCAGTTGCAAAAATGAGCTTCCAGCTTGGAGGGTTTATTGTTAAAGGTGAACCTTCTTGCATAACATCTCTGCTGCCTTCTGTGAGGAGCTGCAGACACTAGAAGGAAATCACAGATAAAGGCTATCTAGCAGAAAAATACCCAGCAGCAAGGCATTAACTGTTGCCTAAGCAAGATTAGTTGTTCTTATTAGTTGAGACATAACTTTTCTAACTTTTCCCTCCTTTATGTCTCCTAGAGACAGCATTGGTTTCCTCCTTTGTTTACTGCCATCAGCGTGAGTCATCTCGCATGCTGAATGTTGATTTGCACATCCAATTTTACTCTTTAACTTGCACTCTTGTCTGACCACATCAGTTTTTGCGTTTCCATGCTTGGGAGTCCCATGACAGTCATAACTGGCAAACCAATGTTAAATGTTTGTTTTGGGAGTAATAGAAAGGGAATTTGGGAGGATCTAGCGATACATGGAATAGCTGAAACTTGCTAGGATTTTTTAATAAAAAAATTAAGCCTAGTAGTGAATTAGTAGTGGCTTTATAACTTTTATCATAATTCCTCTGTCAGCTGTTGACAGATCTTGCTCATGCCTTGGCTACAGCTTTGGCGGTTTTCTGTGGGAATCTAAACGTTTCCTGTTTAATTGATATTGAAAAGATTAATGTGCCAGATCTCATGAGTGCTTAAAACAACTTTCCCTCTAAGATGCCTCTTGATTTTCCTTATGCCTTTACCAATTCATCTGCCTAGTTAAGTTTCCATAATGGTAATTTAAGGCTGCAAGGCTGGCCTAAGAAGTGATGATGATATTTGAAGCAGCAGTTCCCTCAGAAGGACATTTAGGGCACAAGGATGTCAGTTTTGTACAAATGTGTACTTATGGATACTTGGCCATAACTGACATAATTTGTGTATAACTCATAGCATAGATCTTATTTTTAACATATTTATTATTGCTTGGCTCTCTATCCAGAATATCCAACGTACTTCAAATTAGATGCTGTGACAAGCTAGAAAAATACCTAACATGCTCCTGCTTTCTTCTGGGAAGCATATTGGAGGTGCTGAGTGTGCCTAGGATTGTGTATAATGAATTGCTGTGTCTGATGTAAAATAATACTGTATATCTAAAGCTCAAGCAGATATTAACTGACTCAGGAAGGGTATCTCAGAAGCTATTACAGCATTTAACTGTTCATGTACTTATAAAAAATATCTGGATCAAAGGAGCACAAGGCAATTTACAGAATATCAAATGCATGGTGTAAAGAGCTTAATTGAATGGGAGTCATCGGAGGGGATTTCAAAAGTTATGGACTTGGCAAGTCCTTGAATTCAAGGAGGGGCTAAGGCCTAATTCTCACTTAAATATCTCTTAATTTTTCTCTTGGCTTTACCACATCATCTGCCTAGTTAAATTTCCATAACCATAAACCTATGTCTCAGTTGTACCAGTTCAGAATGCACATGACTGCTTAGACTGATGCTTCTCTATACAGAAACTTCCCTCTGTTTAGAAAAGTAGATGTTTGGGAGAATGTGTTGCAGAAAAGCCTTCCACCATGAGCCTGTATCCTGCAGTCTGAAGTGGTGCAGAATTGTGGAACATATGCAGGTTTATGGCCTCATTAAAATCTAGGCCTAACTATCTGGCACACTGAGAGTATAAAACACTGATCAGTTGCTTCGCTGAAGAGCCTTCTAGGCAGTAGTTCCCGATTGGCTAAGCACCGTGGACCCCGTTTTTCAAAAGCCAAGCCATGAACCCTCCTACTTTTGAAAGTTTTGATATCTGTGTGATAGTTTTTGTTATGTCAGTGGTGCCACAGACCACCTGGATAGGTTATGCAGACTCCCAGGGGTCCAGGGACCACCAGTTGGGAACCACTGTTCTAGAGGAATTAGGTCACATTCTTGTTGCTGGTTTCCTGTTTGCTCTGTGTACCTTGCCAGGGGGTGGGTGGAGTGGTATTTCCTACCACAGTGGTACCTCGGGTTAAGTACTTAATTCGTTCCGGAGGTCTGTTCTTAACCTGAAACTGTTCTTAACCTGAAGCACCACTTTAGCTAATGGGGCCTCCTGCTGCTGCCGCATCACCGGAGCCCAATTTCTGTTCTTATCCTGAAGTAAAGTTCTTAACCTGAAGCACTATTTCTGGGTTAGCAGAGTGTGTAACCTGAAGCGTATGTAACCTGAAGCGTATGTAACCCGAGGTACCACTGTATACTGTGCTTAGACTTGTTTAAAAAACAAAAGATAAAACCCATAGGAATGAAAAAATGGCCTTTTGCACATAGGGTTTTAAAAATCGTCCCAAACAGTCTTGCTGACCCAAGTGCCCTCCAACTGTTCTTGGATTATGTAATTTACCATCCCTGATAATTGGCCATGAGATCTGGGAGTCCAAAACTTATTGAGGGCACTAGATTTGGGAAAGGCAGCCCTGAAAAGAATTATTTTTTCTTCTTCCCATTTAGAAGCATTTTCTGAATTTCTTCATTAAAAACAAAAGGAAATACGTAAGTGCTTTGTGTCTTTCTCCAATTCCACTTGAATGCAGGTAGGGGAGGTTTCTTGTTGTAGATGAAGAATGGGTGGAGTGTCAGCTGCAAAGCTCGGGTTGCTACAGCCTTAATATTAAAATCCTATTGCTTTTGCTGCCCATAGGAAGTGGACATTGTGGTAGCTCCGTGTCGGGGATTCCAGTCAGCCGAAGTCACTTTGGGAGAATACGTGAACCATTTCCTTCCAGTCATTACGTTTGCTATCAGTGAGGCAGAACTCTCCACACTGGATGTGAATGAACTGCAGGAGATTAAAGAGAAATTCTCTCTGCCTGTCTTCTTTTTCAAAGTGCCAAATTTGGGTGCTGAACTGATATCCCCTCAGAATGCGGAGAATGAAAAGTCGTCCCTTTACCGGCAGCTGCTGGATTTAGGCTACCTTAGTACAAACCATTGCAGCTGTGGAGCTCCCAGCTCTGATGCCAAAGCCCAGAGCATGCTGGTGGAACAATCGGATAAGATCCGTCTTCTTAGCACTTTCTCCAGGCAGGTGCTGCAGCAGCGCTTGGTGGATGCAGCGACCGTCTTGAACCTAGTGCACTGCCGTTGCCTGGACATTTTCATCAACCAGGCCTTTGATATGCAACGAGACCTTCAGATCACTCCAAAGCGTCTAGAGTACACACGGAAAAAAGAGAACGAGCTGTATGAATCTCTGATGCTCATAGCTAACCGCAAACAAGAGGAGATGAAGGACATGATCATTGAGACTCTCAATAACATGAAAGAAGAACTGCTGGAAGATGCTGCTAATATGGAATTCAAAGGTAATTTCCGGAAAAACCAAAAGCCTTAAAAATGTTGTTGGACTCCAACTCCTATCAGTATCAGGGGTTTAGTCCAACAAGAACTGGAGGCTGTGGGTCAGCTACCTCTGTTTTCAACTTCTTTCACCTGCTGCGTGCATGCACTTCAACTCTGAGCAAGCCATTGTATAGTGAAATTCTTCATCAGATTTCTCCCCCTCCCCATAATCTGTAAAGAATGTCAGCATAGAGTGTCGTAATGTGTTTAGCTAAAATGTCAAACTTTGCAGATATTTGTATCCAAGTGAACAAGATTTGATTGTCTTAAAAGCTTGTAAACATCTCTTGGATAAAGTTTTATAACTGTAATCAAAAGTGTGACCCAACCTGGGTATAAACACTTAAAACAGCACAATTTTATATATTTCTACTCAGTGGTGAATCCTGTTGCAGTTAGTGGGGCTTACTCCCAGGTACACGGTATAAGATTACATCTTGTCACAGTGAACTAAATTGGAAAGATTTAAGCCAATTGACATCAAAGGATCAAAGTGATTAATTTATTGCAATGTTTCAGAACCAATCCAGTCCAGCTAGTGAGGCTTTCATTGCACTTTAGTCATTAAATTTACTTTACACTAGTTCTGGGTGGCTGCTAATATGCTGGAATTGTGAAATTATGCTTCTTTTCAATCTTGGATTTCCTTTTGTTCCCTCTAGATATTATAGTTCCTGAAAACGGAGAGCCTATTAGTTCCAGAGATGTTAAATGTTGCATTAAGCAAATCCAAGAACTGATAATATCACGGTTAAACCAAGCAGTTGCCAACAAGTTGATAAATTCTGTGGACTATCTGCGGGAGAGCTTTGTGGGAACTCTGGAAAGATGTCTGAAGAGTCTGGAGAAATCTCAGCAAGATGTTACAGTACATATCACAAGCAACTATCTAAAGCAGGTAAAAGTAATACAAAATTGCTGACCTGGTATTGCAGATCAGTTTCTAGAATGTTAGCTGTAGCCTGTAATCAGTGGTGACAAAGTGAATTGGTAACATAATTTGATATCTTATGTGTTATGGCGCCAAACAGATTTTTGCTTTAAATTGTAATTTAAGGAAAGAATTTGAGCTCATTGCAATTCTTCCAGATTACAAATGAAGACACTTGCTTTTAAGGTCTTATATTTGTTTGCTTAATCTACCGAATAAGCAATTCCTTCAGTTTTCAGTGGCTTATTTAATATATTTTCTGCTTATAGATACTGAATGCAGCCTACAATGTTGAGATCACCTTTCACTCCGGTTCAACAGTATCTAGAATGCTATGGGAACAAATCAAGCAGGTATTAAATATTCTGATAGTAAAAGCTCTCTCCTAGTAACTGTAATGGGACCTTATCTTTGGTAGATCTTCCTTTGAGTCTCTCTCTCCCTCAACTGACATGGTAGCAGCCATTCCAGCAAGCTGCCTTAATAGGGGAGGTGGGAAGCAGGGCTTATTCTATCAGCTCTGCTGATATTCCAGCTCCATAAAGAATCTCCATTCTAGTTGGTCATTAGAAGAACTACTGTTTAGGAATTGGCACATGGTTTTGCTTTTTTCCTCCTCCCTTCCTATTCCTTTTTTTGTATGTTGTGCTTTTGTGTGGATGTTGGCTTGTTTTTATAAATATCACCCACATACCCATACCACAGTTGCAAACAAACAACTTGTATTCTCATTCGCTCATTCCCCATTATTCTGATTTTCATGTTATTTGGCCTGTATGGTGGGTGACATCTAATGATGTCTACCTGCTTGCACAGCAGAAATTTACTTACACAACTGGGTGTGCTGTTTCTATTCTTCTCCCACAACTCAGCTGAAATGTGCTCCAGAGGGTCTCCTAGCCCTCCTGTGAAGGTTTGGGGGGCACATGGCAAGCTGCTGGGGAGAGAAGAAATACCATCACATGCCCTACCTTGGGCAGGTGAAACTGAAAGTAGACTTTTTAATGCTTGAGTTTTGACAATGAGACATATGTCTTATTCAGATAATACAGCGGATTACTTGGGTGAGCCCACCAGCTATCACCACAGAGTGGAAAAGGAAAGTAGCTCAGGATGCCATTGAGAGTCTCAGCGCATCAAGGCTGGCCAAGAGCATCTGTAGCCAGTTCCGAACAAGACTATACATTTCTCATGATGCTTTTGCAGCTTCCTTGCGACAGGTCAGTTGGATTGTTGTTCATCGCAGTTCTCTTTAGATGAAACTTAACCATTTTTCAAATAGTTGACAATTGCCTGCCTATCCTCTCTCTACTCCTTGCCACTAAAAGAAGAAGAAGAAGAAGCAGTCACACAGGTGCTCTGCTGTTTCTTCTGACTTTTTAAGACAGGCAAAAATGGCTATAAAAGCACTAGCAGTTCTTGTTCTATGGGACTGGAGGACCATTGGGTCATTATTGCAATTGCTTCTTCTAGGGGCATTTTAATGGTGATAGAGGTGGAAGTGACCACACAATAGGGTTCATTCTCCAACTCACAAAAGTGCCTGAGAATGTGCCTTTTTTGGCGGTGTCATGTTGAGCTTTAAAGAACTAAATGAGCCAGCTATAGTAGTGGTCTCTGAAACATATGGAGAAGTTGAGAGTGCTGCCTTTTCTCTGCCTTCCTAGGTACTATGAACCTCTGTTGATGGGAAACTGCACCTTTTTATATAGTTTTGCTAGACTAATGAGACAACACAAGGGCTGTGGATAGCTCAATTGGTAGAACATGAGACTCTTAATCTGAGGGTTGTGAGTCAAATAACATGACCTGAAAATCTTAGGGCAGGATTCTCCTAGTGAGCTCTTTACCTAACGGCTTCCACTAGTGCGATAAGGCTTTCCTCCCCAATCCTCCTGTGCATCTTTACACCCTCTGAAATTGGTTCTGGGGGGTTGGGGGGAACCCACAGAACAGTGTGTGGGAGGAGAGGGGGAATTGTTTCATCTAGCAAGCTGAAATGCTTCGCAAAGGGAACATTTATCACAGCATTCCATCCATGTAGTTCATAGAGGTTTTATTCACAAGGAAAAAAATGTTACATGCCTTTTGCCCAGAAGAGCAGCTTAGAAAGAGAATATGTCCTAGCACATTCTCCATGGGCTATGATCACATGAATATGCAGGTGTTTGGGGCAAAAAGATTCCTGCACTGCGGGGGGGGGGGGTTGGACTAGATTCCCCTTGTGGTCCCTTCCGGCTCTAGAATTCTGTGATTCTATAATCCATGGAAATGACTATTCTACAGAACAAACATTTTAAAATGAGAGCCTGTTTCATTCTTTAGCAAAGAGGAAATAGGGGAGCAGGTTTTGGGAATTCAGTTCTAGGTGTGACCAGCAGGACAGCAAAACCTTACTTAAATTTGGCCTTATGTTTTGTTAGCTAGAGGCTGGCCACTCGGGCAGGCTGGAGAAGACAGAAGATCTTTGGTTGAAGGTGCGAAAAGACCATGCCCCTCGGCTTGCCCGCCTCTCACTGGAAAGCAGGTCCTTACAGGATGTTTTGTTACATGGTGAGCAGTGCCTTGTCTGCACATCTCATTTTATTGATGACTTTCCAGAAGTTTCTTATGAAACAACGAGACTTGTTCTGTACTGTTCCAGACACACTGAGGGAATGAATCCTGAGGAATTCATGCTACTGGGGAGGGACGGAGGGACATAGAAAACATGTCGACAGTAAAAATGATGGGAAATCAGTAAAAAATAATTGGCTAAAAATAAAATAGAAAGAGAAAACAAGTTGACAAGCAGGTGCTTATATTTCAGGTAAACCAAAGCTAGGCCGTGAGCTGGGCCGAGGGCAGTATGGAGTGGTGTACTTGTGCAATGCCTGGGGGGGCCACTTCCCTTGTGCCCTCAAATCTGTTGTTCCACCAGATGAGAAGCACTGGAATGACCTTGCACTTGAGTTTCACTATATGAGGTAGGTGGCATTAAACTCTTCCGTAATAAACATACATTAACCTGGCAGCTTAACTATATTTTGTAGAGTGGTTCGACAGAGTCTGATGACTGACACAAAATTCCTCTCATGTATGCACAAAGGGCTATTTGGAACCTTCTTAAGTGAAACCATGACAATATAAAATAATGATGTTGAGTTGATACTTGTCTTCATACTCTGAAGAATTAGGTTGCCTATGTCATCCTTCTCCAATATGGCACCCTCTAGATGATTGGCTAAAACTCCAATCAGCCTCAGCTAGCATGGTAAATGGCCTGGGATGGGGAAGGTTGCAGTTCAAAAACACCTAGGAAGTGCAGCAGTTGGGGAAAGCTGGCATTTGCTATATCTTGAAACTGCACATTTCTATTGCATATCTAGCTTGCACAGTTATTCTGTTAACATGAATAGTCATTTGGAAATAATGGTGTGTGCCTTGTATGTTTTCCTAGAACAGGGGACTGGGGGGAAATGCCTTATCTCCTTAGAAGACATAAATCCATTATTCTTGACTCTTGTGCTGCATCTTTCTCCAGATCTTTACCAAAGCATGAGCGGTTGGTAGATCTTCATGGATCAGTGATAGATTATGGGTATGGTGGAGGTTCCAGCATTGCTGTTCTACTGATAATGGAACAATTGCACAGAGACCTCTATACAGGATTAAAGGTGAGGAATTAAAACAATTAAATGGAAAATGGACAGTGTAAATATTTGATCATCTCTGGTAGCTTTTCATTATACTCGAATCAGTGGAGATAATAAAAAGTTGCAGAGTATCCCCAACTCAACACAAGTACTCTTCAGGCCTCTAGCCAGCATGGAACACAAGCCTTGCAAGGCTCTAGGGTTCTTGTGGGAGGGGAGGTTTTTGCAGGCTTTTTGTTTCCTACCCACCTGAAATATTCCCCAACTGTGTTATAAAGCACTTGGGTTAGCCCTATATTGCCATATTACAGGGTGGCAAAGACTTTAGAGTTATAAAAGGCAATGGCATATTTCCTTTTGTCTCCTGAAGCCTGTGTATTTCAGTGAGGAGAGGTTCACTCATGTACCCAAACTGTCACTGTGGCTACTATAAGTTGTTAAAGGTCCAGCCAAGTCAATTTTCTCTTTCTCCTGCTCCCCCAAACCATGACACCTTCACTATTCCATAGCTCTGGAAAGCTACTAAGGATGCTCAGTCCTCTTTGGGCTGTGCTAGGTTTCCGCCCCCCACATCTCTTTTAACTTACAAGCTAATATACTTCTGCGTTCTTGGAATCTCTAGAGAATACAGAAGCTACTGCCTTGGGCAGTGAACTGCCTATCCATAGACAGGTTGATAAGTTATAATTTGGCTTTACAATTTTGGCAGCTGTGCTCCCTTCACATTGATCCTGACTATTGGTAGATCAGATGGTCTCTTCTTCACCTCCCAACCTCAGCCCTACTACATTTTTGGTTAGCAGCGGGTAAAATCTAGGGTTAATGGTCTGATCACAAGTACAACTGTAAAGGCATTTTTTTATATTGTTATATATTTCATTAGAGAGAGCGAGAGAGCACACACAACACTTGACCCTGGCTACCATTGTGGGACTAAAACTGTATGCGTCAGTAGAACGGATTAACACAATAGCAGCAGAACTACTCTCTGACCCGCTTGTTTAAGGAAGAAACAATGTTAAAGGATCTGTTTTGTTGGAGTTGCTTCACCTTAGGCAAGAAGCACTGCCTAATAACCATAGATGTGAATCCCATTAAGGGATCGATAATAAGGTTTTTCCCCCCACTTTCCCCTCAGGCTGAGTTGACATTGGAGATAAGATTGCAGATTGCCTTGGATGTAGTAGAAGGGATTCGATTTCTTCACAGCCAGGGGCTCGTTCACAGAGACATCAAGCTTAAAAATGTATTGGTAAGGGACAGCTTTTTGCCTTGAGCATCATTCTCTTTGCTAAAATGGAACAAGACATCGGTACATAAATAATGGCCTTGTTAAAACCATTCCTTGGAATTGTATCTCTGCTTTATAACTTCTTAAAAATGTAAAAAGCACTTTTTTCAAAAGGGGGGGGGGGAGGCACGAGCAAAAGTGATCGCTGCCATTGTGAAGCACAAAACCTGTACTTTGCTGTATATAGAACACCAAAGGACAATGGTGCTGCCCAAAAAGACAGATTCAAGTGCTGAACAAGAAACTCAAGAATATCTAGGTTTTCATATGACTGGACCAATTTCCTTATAAAGAAAAGACAACCTTACCTGATCACAGCTTAAACCCAGGGGAAAGATCAGAAACTGAGGCATATCTAAAGGGAGCTCAGCCAGAGTAAAATTGACTGGAGTAACAAAGAGCTATCTTTTCTGATCCTTTGAATGATCAGAAGGCTAATATACCCTTCATCTGTTCAGACTTTCATTTCCACAAGATGTGGTGATGGCAGTTAGTTTAGAGGACTACTTTTACACTGTTACCATTTCATAAAGGATTCCAACTCTATGATTCTATGATTCTAGGTGTACCTGTGGCTGTTAGCTAGCAATCTCCAGGACAGAATCAGATAACACAAAATTATAAGAAAAAACAAAATAAGGAATTGGTGATTATTTTTGTGCTGGGCTAGATAATGAACTTCAGCTTGGTTCAGCAAATACATTAGTAATGTGCTAGTTGGGATTGTTTGTAGAAGACACTTGTACTACAGTGATGGCATGCTGGTCTCTTTTGATAAGTCTTGAGGCTTGGGTTTGAGTAGTTTGTATCCTTTACAGCTTGATAAAAACAGCAGAGCTAAAATCACAGACCTGGGATTCTGCAAACCTGAGGCGATGATGTCCGGCAGTATTGTTGGGACCCCTATCCATATGGCTCCTGAACTCTTCACGGGTAAACTTATCATAGATCTCCTTATGGACTGTTGGCCATGAAGAATTTGAGGTCCGTTCCCTTAAGATGACAAAACTACATGTGTACAGTTAGAGGGATGCTTCTGCCAGGAAGTTTGGCAGATACATGCATGTGTATCCTCAGGGAGGGGAGGAGTATATTTTCAAGGAGATACGCCACATTGAACTGTGTGGGTTATTACCAATGAAAAAACAGGTAGATGTTGGATTGCAGATCAAAATATCCTTAGATAAATTAATTCTTATCTTTGAATCTCTCTTGTCCCAAATGAATGCTTCGATACTTCTGTCCTGTTACAAATTTATTTTTGTTAAAGGATTAGCTATGCAGGGCCCTCTATTCTATAACCTGTCTCATTATGAAGACCCAGGGTGGGTATGGACAATCAACACAAACCCCTAGCAAACCAGAGTAAAATTTCATCACATTAAAAGACCAGCTCAAACCATGAAACCCAAACAACTCTTGCAGAGCTTCCAAAAAGTGCTCACACTTGGACTTCAGCAAATCTACCTAGAGGGGGAATTTTCCTAATTTGGTGGGGATGGCTACAGAGAATACCTCTTCGTTCTCATATGGTTGAACTGACACAAATGTTATAACTAAAGGTGCCCTTGGTATTGATCCTTGGTGGTTGTTATGGGGGACATGTAGGAAATGATTTAATTCAGTGCTAGCGACAGGATATCCCTTTCTCCTCTCCACAAGCTGTGTAGCTAACTCCCACTGTATTGTGTAGCTGTATGGCGAGTGCCACACCCCTGAAGAACATCTTAATATTCTTCCCATATGAATCCACAAGTTCAGATGAGAAGGAACTGTCACTGTCATCAGGCTCCAGGATGAACATCAGAGCATCAAAGGCATGGTGGCGCCTCACTTGATCCAGTGGACTTGTGTGGGAAGAGCATTTGAGTGTGCTTTTGTCCCAAGCAGGAGCATTTAAGAGTAGTAGCCTTGCTGAAAATAAAGTTGCCTTAACTAAGCTCTAGGCTGTGTTGGAGTCCCCAGTGACCCAGTGTGCTGCTGTTTTCCTGACAACCATCTTATGCTTTCTAGTCTTCAACCAGTATCTCTTGCTCATCTGCCACAGGGAAATATGATAATTCTGTGGATGTATATGCATTTGGCATCTTGTTCTGGTACATCTGTTCGGGTCAAGTCAAGTTACCAGAGGCTTTTGAGAGATGTGCAAGCAAGGACCACCTTTGGAACAATGTACGAAGAGGTAGGCATAACACATAATGCAGTGTTGTGAAGGGATGGAGACTATATCTAAAGTTCCTAATCTAAATGACCGCATGTCAAGATCTGCTCTCGTGGTGGAGCTTTGGGGTCTCTCTCTTCCGACCACAGTCCTCTGTGCTGCCACACAAGCCAGCCCTTGAAACTCATGGCAGCTTCAGAAACCTCCTTCAGTGCTGTGCAACTGCTGTTCCTAAACAAGGCTGAAGAAGGCACAAAGAGCTCCAATGCAGTGTTTTTTTTATGTGAGCTGCTTTGTAGCAGACTTCCAACATTTGAAGCAATTTTGCATAGAGAAATTTGCTTTGACTAAATGCTTTTGGAGCAATTGTCCTAAGTGAAAAAGCCATTCGACTAAATCTTTACACCTTCTGCATTTTCAGCAGAAGCTAGATAAGGTAGTACTGGAGTGCTCATGTCTTTGCATCTCCTGGTGCTGTTGTGCTTTGCTGTTTCCTGGGTAGCTGTATGGCAAGTGCCACACCCCTGAGGGTTCCTGTGCTGTTGAATATAAAATTCACAGCAGCTGAAAACTTGAAGCAGCTAAGGTGGGCTGAGAGAAATGGGAGAATGAGCAGTTCCTTTAGTCTGTGGTTTCCAGGCTACTGTTGATAGCTTAGAACGTATAAAAATTCTGGCTGTAGTCTTATGCATACTTACCTGGGAGTAAGCTGCACTGAACTTGGTGGGCGCTGTCCAACTACATAGATCTGCTCTAGTGCACAGATTTTTTCTTGCACAATGGAACTTCCCCTCCCTCAATCTGCTCCGGAGAGTTGGAGAGGAACCCAGAACAGAGTTATGGAGGCGAAGTTTCCTTTGCACAGCCCAAAGTCCTTGCACTAGTGTATCTTTTTGGTTTAAAACTGCCCAGGAAGACTTGCTTCTGAGTAAACATGCCTAGAATTGCACTGCAAAGCATAGCATGTGTGATTTAAGGAAGGTCCTGTAACATAAAGAGTACCTTTGTTTAGAACTAACTGTCCCAAGAGTCTATAAGTTGCTTTGAGGGCTATGACAGAAATATAGGCCAGATACGAATGACAACACTTAATTTCATCTGCTGTTCCAGAGGTTGACAGAGAACCAGGATTTCAACTCTTTGTATTATGTTTGTATAGAAATCAGACATCTAAAGTTCTTCAAACTAGATATAATCAGTACTTTCTTGGAACAAGGCAACAGCAATCTAATTCTTTCAAAAACATGCATGCATGACTAATGCTTAAGTGGTTTTCTTTTTTAAAAAACAACCACCACCCAGCAATATCTTAAATCTCCTTAAAGTGTTTGAGAATTTGCAGTCCTTAGAGTGTTGGGAATCTCTGTGAACATGCTTCATTCTTTGAACAATGGGCTCTATTAGTTGCTACCTAAATTAGTGGAGCCTCCTGCATAGTTCCTTTTGTTATTAAAATGTACCCTTTTAACTTCATGCCTATTTTCAAGCTTCCCCAAACATGACCTCCCAAGATGAAGTTTTTACTTAATTTGAAAGCTTCCCTGCCTTATGGATAATGGTAGTTGTGGAAATTACAGTGCGTAGTATCTCATGAAAAAACAGGACTAGCACCTGTAGTACAACTAAGCAGTGCAATTCTATACATGTCTCCTCAGTAGGATTTGCTCCCAAATAAGTGTGCTTGGAGCTGCAGCCTAGACATATTTTGAAGTGTTAATTTTTAGGTTTCAGAACCGTTACAGCATATGAAAAATGGCTTATAAGTGGTCAACTCATGTGAACAGTGTAATGCTGGCAACACTTTCGTGGTCACAACAGCAGTTTCCATGAGTAAGGGACCATACCTTCCCAGTGCACCCTACTTTGTGTAAGTCAGTATTTATACATATTAATAATGTGTGTATTGACTCAGAGCCTTGTCCATAATTGGAAGCTTACGTCTGGTTTCTTTCCAGATGGGCCAGGTAAGCAGCTTATGCCTCTGACCAGTGTAATTAAAGCTGAAGTAGCAAAGATCAAATGAATTATTTTCCCTTTCAGTCAATTAACCATGTTCTCCTTTTTGTCCAGGAGTACGTCCCGAACGCCTTCGTATTTTTGATGAGGAGTGCTGGCAGCTGATGGAAGCCTGTTGGGATGGAGACCCTTCTCAACGCCCACTCCTGGGCATTGTCCAGCCCACCTTGCAGAACATAATGGACAGGCTTTGCGGGTCAAACTCAGCACCGTTGAATAAAGGATTAGATGACTCTACTTGAAAAACAAGCCATGGAGGAACTGTTCTATTACGTGAGAATGCCGGCCCCCACTTTGGCGTGGGCAGCTCAAGAGGGTAGCTTTTCTGAAGAGAGACTGGCCAGAAATTGGGCACTTGGGTGAGACGATACCGAAATTCCACCTCATAGCAGCCAGGGACATTCATCCCCAATACACTACTAATGCAAGTTGCTAGTGCTTCCCTCTTCCCTTAAAACGCAAGAAAGATGGGAAATTCAGGCCTTGCTGTCTGGAAAGGATTTTGCTTATCCCCTTCAGATTCCAGTAAAAGGAAGAAAGCACTGTATGTTTCATAACTGGGGCAGCCAGCACGTCTGCATCCCTAGCTTCAGTCTGCTATATGTCTGCAATGGCTCCCTTGAAGGTCACAAACATGAATGTGGATTATTGGAAGACATAAAGTAGTATCTCTATTTCATAGGATGGGTTTTCCAGCTATTCTTAGCGTGGATTCTGAGGGGTGTTAAGCTAATATTAACTTCATAGTACTTGGTATGTTTACATGGAAGGATCAAAGCATCCATTCTCTTGAGGGGAAGGCCACACTGCAATGGAAATGCCCTTTAAAAAAAGTATAAGCTACCTGTGCTTTATCTTGTGAACCAAGCTCTTTTTGGTAAACGCTTAGTAGCAATTTTTGCAACATCTGATTAAAGATGGCCTTTTTATTTTTATTTTTACAATCTTACAGCAAGATGGGTACTCCACCAAAAAAGACTCTGCACATACAGAAATTGAAACATAAATTGCTTGCAACTAACTACTGCCTGTACCCAGTGGACAACTAGCAGGCCATGTTTTTAACTACAGCAGTTTTCTTGTTTTGAACCCAAGTATAAAGGCAGTGACTGTTTTAAACTAATTATTGACAGGCATTTTAAAATATTTCTTCAGCTACTTTTTTTAAGCCATTCCCTTGGAGAATACCTAAGAGAGACCTGACATCATTCCATAGATGTGCATGATTGCTATTTCTGACCATTTCCTTCTTTAGGGTTTGTTGTTTGGCTGTGTTAGACTATGTTAATTTAGGAATCCATTGCAGGGAGCACATGGGGAGGACAGTCCAGAGTCCTGCAAAATGAAGGGTTCTTTCTCATGTACTTAACGCACCCCTGAGAGAAAGATGTGTTTGCATTTGTTTGTGCAAGACTTAGTTTCTTAGTACAACAATGTTTTGAGGAGAGGTGTGGGATGAGCTGGAGAATGCAATTGGCGTAAGGTCAAAACCTTATTCTCCTTCTTCCACACAATGAGGCATGCACTGGTTTCATCGTCATAGGATAATTGAGTGTGCACTATACAAAGCCAATCAGACATGCAACATACAGTCCATTGCTTCTGTTGCACAAAGCAGAATTACAGCCTCTTGCCTGTTTACATAAACTACTAGAGACAAAAGTGACCTTGCAGTGTTACTGGCCCAGCCTAGACCCTTCCTGTGTGCAATAAAATTGAAACTGTGCTTTTAAAATGATTGCTTTTTACTTAATGGGCATTCATTGCTAGGTGATGATCTAAACTGTATTCGCACTTCTGTCTACAAATTGTAGCACCTGGCAACTTGAATGGGCAGTGACGGTTGCCAACCATGCTCACAAAAAAGCACATATATTCTCAAATAGATATTAGAAATGTCACTTATGTGCTAGCTAGGCCACTGTTCCACTCATTTGACAGTATTACTCATTTCATACCCATTTATTCTGTGCTACAGTGGCTAGTGACCTTGTTTAGAGTTAGGAGGGTCTAGGTCAGTATTTTTGGAAGTATATAGTTTATGTAAAATTACAATGAATAAAACTATTTGAAAACGGCTTGTATAGCTTTTCCCAAACAGCCACTTCCTTATTCTATAATATCCTGTGCCTTTTTGAAAACTTGAGTTGAAGTAGTGTATCAAATTCCACTAGGACTGTCTTCCCCATGGACACCTCTGGCTCAGTACACCTTTCCCAATGTACAACAATGCATGTGCTCCTTTGTTAGGCATAAATGTTAATTATTCTGAGCAGCTCTGAATCAGATTTCACAGGCCCCCTGACATGCCTCACAAGAGGGAAGAGATGGGTTTTGTGTCGTCTAAAGATCTTCTAGTTAAAGCACATTTGACTTCGATTAAAACCTTTGTTCATATTTGGCAATACTGTATGCTTTCTCTACATTACTACCACCCTTGTGGCCTAAGAAGCATGCATTTTGAACACACTAACATTTTTCATAGCTGTTTCAATAGAGGCAAACAGATGCCACTACCAGGTATTATGGTAGGGGTAATGGTGGCTATCTGTGTATTCAGGCCAGCTGTGAGTGCAGAGCATCTATCACTGCGATCCCACTCCAGTTACTTGACAAAAAGCATTAAACTGAAGATCTGTTAGAAGCAACTCCTGGTTGTTGTTGTTTTAAAAACAAAGTTATTGTTGTGCTCACGTACAACTATCTTATGCACTGCAAAATACCTCTTCTCTCCCCACCTGCCTCTTAAGTTAGCTTCATTACCCACTTTCTTCTGTACCCAAAAGGAAACTTTGTTTACTAAACTGTATTATGCAACGTTTACAGGTTGCCACTGACTGGATGGCTAAAGCAGGTGCTCCAAAAGAGAGGTTTCTTTAGAGTTGGAAACATGATACATCAAACTAGTTTACAAAAACAAGTATACTTACAGAAAGCAGAGCTGGAGGAATCCATAGTGGTGCTAGTAGCTCATGGTTCAAAGATGGAGCTATTCAAAGCTACCCAATTGCTAGGCCACTTATTTCTGCTTTGGATATTGTGGCCAATTTAGGCTCTGGATACAAACACTACATAGGATTCAAATGAGTGAAAGCAAGGCTTGAATGCAATGTCACATTGCCATGTTGCGATGCTGGAGTGTTGCCCTCAGCTTGCTAGTGCATTGCTGCTGTCTATCACATTGCTGTCTAGTGCAGTGGATTATGGGAGCTTTTGTTTGGCAACTGACCATTTTTGTGTGTGTTTCCTCCATCTGTAGTACTTCTAGTGACTTGATTATACAATGCAAGCCCTTCTAGCTTGTTGAATTCAAGTGCAAGCTATTCTATTTATCTTTTTTTTAGCACTTTTGTGTTCATCCTTCTCTCAGCCCCTTCCCTCCTGGATAGTATTTGGAGGCTCAGAAGCTGCTTGAATGTAGGCTCTTGTAGGGTGACTGTCCGTTAATGGAAGGACCATCAGTACTGAATCCCAATCTAATGTGGTTCTCTGTTGAGCTTTCACTTTTAGAGATGTACATAATGCCTTCTCTGTATCTACTGGTCTCCTGGCCAGTTGTCCTCGCTTTGTTATTTTTTAAATTTTAATACTATGATTTTTCCCCCTCCAGGGAGAGAATAAGAGCACAGCAGCATTTAAAACTCCCTCAGGGGCTTAAATAGCACTGTATTTCTTGACCTTCTAATGCTTCCCTTTGTTTTGGTTCTATTAAACTGATGGTCAACTGTTACAACTTGGCTATTGGGGGAGGTAGAAACCTGAGTTAAGAGTTGTACAGTTCCATTGTAATGCCTATAGATTTTTGTACTACTTTTATTTTTTAAAAAACTTATGTATATTAGTGTTAAAGGCAAAGGTAACAAACTTACCAACTGTATAGGAAAAGTGCAATAACATGGAAAATGACATGATTGAGAAAAATATTTCCCTTGTATTCTGTAATACTAATTGACTCTCCACTGCAGCCCCTTCCCCCATTACGTGTATTTTAAGAGACGTGACTGTGGGTCAAGACTTCATTTAGTGCTATAATGAAAGTCTGTTTTAATAGAGAGTAGAATGCACAGAAGTGCTGTATAATAAAGGTTGCATTAACATTTTTTGCTGCTGCTTGTTTGGTTTTACTTTTCCAATAATGGTTCCAGAGACTTTGCTGAGTTTCGAATCTGTCACACCACCACCTGGGAAGGGTAGCAATAATACCTGCTAATAAACTGATCAAGTGGCTATTGAGCCACAAGGGCGTGGGCTTGTGTTGATGAAGCTACAGCAGTACATGCTCTTTGGCAATGGGGATGGATGGATGTCCTTGTGGGTACTGGACTGCATCACAAAATTCATCACTTATTTGGGGATGTGCCAGTACTGCCCCTAGGATAGTATACACAGTAATAATCCCAATTCCTGTTGTAATAGTTTCCACCTAATCTTTCTCTTCACTATACTGTATTGCAGCCTTGCTTGATAAAATGCAATCTGTTTTTGCTGCAGTCCACATGATTACTACTCTGGATATGGCACGATGGCAATCATGGATGTCAAAATCCTGTGGCACCTTAAAGCTGGCAAATTTTATTCTGGCACAATAAATTTCAATGGATTAAGAGCTCATTTAATCAGATAATCTTATTATGATGGAATCAAATGGGTTAGTCTTTGTAATTTTGATAGGCTGTTTGGGGTCTGCTCACAGGGTCCATTTGTCCCATAGTCATTGCCTCTTATATTCTACCATAGGCATCTTCAAGGTGGCCTAGGATTTTAGAGGATTAGTTTGGAAGAGATTTCTATTTTACTACTGCATTAAGTAATGTCTGGCATTAGAAAAATATAAGGCTGCCACAATTTCTTACTATATAAAAAAAACTGCCTGCTTGTAATTCTGGATATTCAAAAAAGCAAAAGCAAAGAGCTTTTTAAAGCTAAAGAGCAAATAAAAAAGCAAAGAGCAAATAAAATTGAGAGAAGTTATACACAGAACTGTAATACGGGAACAAAAAGGCTCCTGTCATGTTCACCTCTATTGTAAAGGTTCCCCAAACATCTCTTCTAAACGAATAAAACTTAATAGGCCTTGTACTGACATATCCTAATCCAGAGTTGCCTTGCTCTTCAGCAGCTCTTGACAAAGTGCCAGTTTTACAAATTTAATCAATCTCTTTGTAAATGCAACAGCTCTTGAAATTAGATGGGGGAAAAGGCGCTTCCTCTTGGCTGCTCTAGGCAGCCATGTTCCTTAACATAAATTCCTTTAACTGTTTCTAAAGGTTTAACATCCTGGATTTAGATGGCAAATGAGACTTGATAGATGACTCCTCCCAATTACTTTTGCTGCCAGAGGGTACAACTTGGGGCATTTGGGATGTGTAAGAAGACAGAAGGACTTAAAACATTTGAGGCTAAATTAACCCTTGACTGCTCTGTTTTCTTTCCCACCCTCCCACTCACAGTTTTCAAGGTTATTTTTTCTCTGTCAGGCTGCAGCAATAGGAGTACCCATGGGAAGGAGGGTATCCTGTGTACTATGCTCCCCTTCTGCCTTTGACATCCAGGTCTGCTGCTATTCCATCTAATTTATCCCTAAGGAATAATTAAAAACTACAGCAGCAGGGCAGGTGTGCTAAAAAACAATGTGCTGGTTAGAGTTAGTCTAATGCATACAGTAAAGGCTAATAGCTAATCACGGAGGCCAGACACATCTGTCCGTGAAAGCTTGTGCTATAATAAAATACAATTAAGTGGGTACAAGATCTTTTGTCAGTGTGCGGTTGCTGGATTAGAATTTATCGAAGATTTGATTGCATTCTAGGCTTGAATAAGGACAGTTCCCCCAAATTTGCTTAAACTGGATATTTTCCGTCTGAAGAAAAAGCAGTCACAGCACCATAATCTAAAAAGAGCTCCTGATTTGAATGGTGGTCTTACACCAGTTTCCTCCTGGAAATCCCCACCCCCAGCTGCTATTTGCTTCCAGGAAATTGCATCCTCAGAGAGAGATTTAATTAAAGCATTTATTTACCTGTTCATTTCAGTTGCAATTCCAGAGCAAGTTACAGTTCATCCATGTACCTGATACAATCACTGCAAAAGAAGGCAGATAAGTTTGCAGCCAGTCAATGCTAAAATAAACATTTTGGCACTAAACTGTAACAAGGTGGGTAGGAGAGATTGTCACAAGGAAACTGGCACAGAGCCTCCATCCACACTGGGAGCATGTTCTGGATTGGGGCCCTGTGATTGCTCCCTCCCCCCAGAGAATGGTGATGAGTTTAAGTATGCTTTTTCAAAAGTACAAATACATAATGTGTAGTTTGGCCTTTAAATTGCTATAGGTTGTACTTTATACATTTCATGACCATTTGATCCCTGTTTTTCTTTACCCACCAACACCCACCCATATGTATGTACATAATATGCCAACTAACGTTACGATTTCATGGATTTGATAATATGTATGGGGAGGTGCTGTAGCTCAGTGGGAGAGCACATGATTTGTATGAAAAAGGCCCCAGGTTCAATCTTTAGTATCTCCAGGTGGAGCTAGGAAAGACACTCATTTGAAATCCTAGACAGCTGCTGCCAGTCAGGGTAGACAATACTGGGCTAGATGGACCAGTGACCAAGCTCCATAAAAGCATATTCCTATGTGCTAGTCTATGAAACCTTACACAACAGTTTGTCTTTAAGGTGCTCAAGAAACTTGTTTTTAACTAGAACCACCTAACCAGGACTACACCTATTTGGAAATGTAAAATCTGCCTGGGCTTTTTCATATTTGGAAATCTAAAAAGCCACATGAGTATAGACAAGCTTTTCAGCTGATCTCATGGAATATTGTCAACATTTCCCAGCATTTTCCTAGGGCAAGGTACATTAACTTGTCAACAAGTGAGTCAGCATTAGCACAGAAAAATGAAACTGGATTTGTGCCTGTCAGAAAAACAGAGGTGCTCTGTTATAGTTCTTCAAAGTCTTTAGTCCCAATCATATAACCAGCAAATGTTTTATTGAAATCTCAATTGCTGATGAATTTAATGACAAAGCAAGAACCCCACACAAAACAGAAACAGCCTCTACCACAGCACCTGTTGCAATCTACAAAATTGAATTAGGCTGCCCTCTTGCATATATCTTTTCCAGCATCAAGCTAGGATTACAGGTACTCAAGAAGCATTGGCTCCTGCAAGTAAATATATTGCAGCAAACCTGTTTTCGCTGGCAAGATGTCCCAGCTAATCTTGGCTCCTTGGCAAATAAACCTGTACAATATAGGAGTTTCCAAACACTCAGAGCAAAAAAGAGGGTAGTTATTTTCATTCAAAGCATGTTCGAAAAGTTGCTGAAGAGACTCTTCTTCCACTTCACAAATTTTGGCTGAGAATTTTGGTAGTGGCCCTGGACTTTGAGATAAGACTAAAATGGAGGACCAGGAAACTTCCAAAGAACACTAAAGAAATGCAGACAGGGCCACACTCCCTTTTGGACAATGACAGGGGTCACTTACCAAGGGGTGGGTGTAGCCAAAGTGTGTGTGGCCAAACAAATACCACTCCATCCAGGCAAGCAAAACAAGGACACATTCCTTGAACCTTTTGCAACACAAGATGGCAGTGCAGAGCAGAACCAGTGAGAAATGTGGCCTTGGCAGAGTCCTGAGCACTGGACAGAATGATGTGGATGCTTACTTCTGATCCCTGGGCCTGAGGTCTGCTCACCTCCCACTTCCTCACCCCACTGTCAATAGAAGAAGAAGGATGTTTGTTGTTGAGAAGCAAGAAACAAGGCATTTTGCCTCTGGTTCTTCTCAAGTCACGTAGAATGGAGAAAGTGAACTGCAGCTTTCTTAGCATTTTCTTAACTTCTATAAGGCAGCTTAGCCCACACTTTGGGAAGAAACACAGAAAAAGTAGCACTCGTACAGTGGTACCTCGGGTTACAAACACCTTGGGTTACAAACACTTCAGGTTACAGACTCTGCTAACCCAGAAGTAGTACCCCGGGTTAAGAACTTTGCCCCAGGATGAGAACAGAAATCGTGCACTGGCGGCACAGCGGCAGCTGGAGGCCCCATTAGCTAAAGTGGTACCTCAGGTTAAGAATGGTTTCAGTTTAAGAAAAAGACCTCAAGAACGAATTAAGTTCGTAACCACTGTATACCACTGTATTTGTTTTCTGTTTAATATATTACTGTAACTCACAGAGGGATAAAAATGTATTGGAAGGTAAATATTCCCAGCCTTGCCGTGACTTTTGATTTTTGGGAGAAAGAATCACCGACCAAAAAGAACCCGGAAAAAGAAGTATGCCAGTTTACAGAAAAAGATGTCTATGTTGTGACACTCTCATCATTTTACAAATGATAATGGAGACACTTACAGTCACTTTGTATACCACTTTCCATATAAACATAACTTTTTTTGAAGTGCACCGTCCATAAAATTGAAATACCGTACTTCTGTATTTGTACCACTCATATCCCTCCCAAGAAGCACTGTTATCACCACCACCCACTTAAGGAAAGCTAAAGCTGATTTCTGCTTGCTGCATCGTGGTGTGTTCATTTACTCTGCAACCACCTGTCTTGAACCTGCTTCTGAAACAATATAAGTTAGTAAATATTTAGTAAATGTCCCAACAGATTTAAGTGCTAGAAACAGAAGGGTTGTGTTTCTGGTGCTGAAACCTAAAAACGACAATTCCAGACTATGTGGTAAGGTTATGTGACAGTAAGGGAAGTGGTTTATCAGAAATAGGTTCATGAAAATTTGGGATTTGCTTCGAAGGGAAGTCTAAAAACTACCCGCATGAAATCATGTCGAAAACACGTTACAGCTGCTGCTTCTACTACCTTTAACATACAGCATTTAACAGCACTGATTGAGAAGCCATTTCCGGAGCATAGCTACCCTGCTTTGCTTTCAGTATCTCAGTTCTTTCTCTCCAGATATTTGCATAGCTGTCAACTTTCCCCCTTTTTAAGGGAAATTCCCTTATTCCGAATAGGATTCCTCGCAAGAAAAGGGAAAAGTTGACAGCTATGGATATTTGTAATTTGGAGAGAAAATGCGGCTCAGTAGATGCCTTTCCCCCACAAGCCCTG